AGCAGAAAGGCTGACGTTTTGGGCCTAGACCCTTCATCAGAAAAGGGGGAGGGGAAGGGGGTTCTGAAATAAATAGGGAGAGAGTGGGAGGCGGATAGAAGATGGATAGAGGAGAGGATAGGTGGAGAGGAAGCGTGGAGGCAGAGGCAGCGGAAAAACTGCTCTATGTCCAAGCGTGAGCGGTATTCATTGATCTGTGGGTGGAGGGGGACAAAGGTGAGCTCTTTGCTGAGGACTGACCGTTCGTCCTCAGTGAGGGGTAGGTCTGGGGGGATGGTGAAGACTCGGCAGGGCTGGGTGCTATTGTCCCATCTGGAGCTGTTGGCTGTGGAGGCTGTGGGCGGAGCGACGTCGGCGTCGGCTGTGGGCGGAGTTGCGTCGGCGGTGGGCGGAGTTGCCTTTGCAGATCTGGGAGATGGAGGCTCTGAGCTGGGGTAGGCTTGATTGTAGTGCCTGGAGATGCCGGCGCATTGCTGCGAGTGTGTGTTTCAGGAGTCGCAGGGAGAAACGCTTCTGAAGGATCTCAATGCCATGAGTGTAGATATTGTCACGGTTGGGGCCAAATTTGGAAGGCTTGAATGTGGATTGTAGTCCATTGGGGATGATCTGGTTCCATAGGCAGGTGCTAAGAAAGGTGATGTAGCTGTAGTACCTGGTTTGCTTCAGGACATGGTTGAGCAGTTTCAGGGCCGAAGAGATTACGAGAGAGTTGCAGTGGGAGAGAGATCCCCTGAGGTTTGTCCGGAGGGAGGAGGGTAACTTCTTCAGGCTAGGCATCCTTAGAAGAGGCTTCGCAGTGGGGTTAAAATTGAATCAGAGATAGTAGGAACTGCAGATGCTGGAGAATCCGAGACAACAAGGTGCAGGGCTGGATGAACACAGCAGGCCAAGCAGCATCAAAGGAGCAGAAAGGCTGACGTTTCGGGCCTAGACCCTTCATCAGAAAAGGGGGAGGGGAAGGGGGTTCTGAAATAAATAGGGAGACAGTGGGAGGCGGATAGAAGATGGATAGAGGAGAGGATAGGTGGAGAGGAATCGTGGAGGCGGAGGCGGCGGAAAAACTGCTCTATGTCCAAGCGTGAGCGGTATTCGTTGATCTGTGGGTGGAGGGGGACAAAGGTGAGCCCTTTGCTGAGGACTGACCGTTCATCCTCAGTGAAGGGTAGGTCTGGGGGGATGGTGAAGACTCGGCAGGGCTGGGTGCTATTGTCCCTATGACTCTATGAGACTCCATTTTAAACAGAAATCTCCTGGAAGAATTATGCGAGATATCCTTAAAGAGACAGTTCTTGACCAAAGAAAATTCAAGGAAAATACCTTTCAGAAATCAATTACAGATCTGCCAAAAGAATCCAGGCAATCTGCAAGTGCAATAACTGCAGAAATGCTGAGGAACAAGAAAATCTTTGTCTCCCACTCTCAATGTCTGTTGTACCTATTAAGTCCACCAGTAGAAACAAGTAGACTCCAATAGTTCAACTACAGAAAGCATCTCAGTTGTTGAATGCTGATATCACATTTTCTACCTCTTTATCTTAGGATAGACAACTACAGAAAGCATCTCAGTTGTTGAAT